GATGATGATAATGATTACGATGATGATAATAATGATGATAACAATGATGATGATGATGATGACACGAAATGAAAAATTATTATAACTGCCAATGATAAGTATGACGATGGTAATAATTTAATCGTACCTTTTCACTTATATATTTCCTAAGTTGTACGTATACGTTTTCTGTAAATATTGTAACGAATGATAATTGCGAAGAAAAGGAAGGAAAAAAGAAAGAAAGAAAAAAAAAAAAATACGAACAAGCAAGCAAACAAACAAACAATTATTATCGAAGATATCATGACTGATTTAATATAAAACAAAAAAGGAAAAGAAAATAATAATAATAATAAAAAAAAACAACGCTATGCTATTATTTATGGGAGAATAATAATGCAAGTATAGAAAATCCTATTCCATAGACGGATCTTGTTTTTATTTCTTTTTAACAAATTTTGTTTTTCAAAGAGTCGAGATATATAAAATTAGGAGGAGAAAATTGCGAAGAAAGGAAAAAAAAAAAGAAAAAGAAAAAGTTAAATTATAATTGTGAGAAAGGAAGAGCGAACGATGCCTTGTTTTTTTTTCTATAACAAAAATTTGTTTAAGTAATATATATAATTTTCTTTTTTTTTTTTTTTGGTTTTGATCATAAGCCAATAGATCGATTCTTTTGGTTTACTTTTTATTTCTGTTCATTTTTGTTTTTAATTATTCTTTTAATTTTCTCTGATATAGTAGTCCCTAGATTTAGATTCTTACGAGTTGTTTCGCTCACCGTGGAAGTGTGTTTAACCTTTAAATATCGTGACAATACCATTACTTTTGAAGACTCGTCGCCAGTTGGTTGGGTATTTGACCATATTGAAAAAATGCGCAGCTGTTGAAATATTACAGGTATTATATTCATGTTTTTATGTAAATAAATTTTTGGTATATTTCAATGATCGTTTATCAATTAAATTAATACCAAATCGTTTCTCAATCCTGACACATTCCTATCAAATAATTTTCCCACGTGACGTTTAAAAGAAAGAAACAAAAATCAAATAAAATAAAACATATTTTAAGTAACGCAAAATGTGTGTTCGATTTTGATTTAAAATACGACGAAAGTTTGATCGATGAGAATGGTTTAAAAGTGAATCATTAATTAGCATAATTAATAACCGATTTCTCATGCATATCGTCGGTTTAAGTGTAAGAGAAGATGGACGAGATGAGAAGCAGGGGGCGGACGGGGATGAGGAGGAGCAGGAGGAGGTGGTAGTGGGGGTGGGTGAAAGGATATATTCTAATGTTAGTTTCATGACTCGGGAGGATTCTCGTAAATATATGAAATTGCTGTGGACTCGTTTCGAACGGGGGAGGCGTACAATTTTATAGGCCCTTTTTACGACTTATGGAAGCCGCGCGTTCTACTTTACGCTTACGTCATACGCGTCTCACAAAAGTTTACGAGCACCACCATTCGAAATTCCCCTTCCGTATCGAGAAATACGAAAGAAGAAGAAGAAGAAGGAGAAGAAAAAAAAATATAAGAAAAAATATACTTGTGAAATGAAATAGCTTTTTACTTCACGGACGTTTCACGTTTATGAGAAACGCGTTAATCCAAAGTTACGAGATTCGAAAAACGCGTTCGTTCGCATACTTTGATCTTCTTCGAAAAAAATATTATGGATCTATGAACAGTAAAATTAAATTAATTGGGAAACGTAACTGTTCGGATAATGGAATTTTTGGATACTGGAACATTCATTCTTGATCGTGACTGCCAGCTCGTGTTGTAATCTAATGGTGTTATATTTATATGCCTAGATAACTGACTGAATAATTAGATTTAATTTTCTTTGTATATAGAGTTTAGTTAAGAAATATAAATATTTTAGCGTGAATTTAGATTCATTAATTATATCTAATTTGAATTTATATGAAGCAATGCAGTATCGCGACTTGGGATAGTCATAATATGATTTATAAGCCAAATAATTGCTCGAAGAACCCCTAGATATCAAATGATTCAAATGGTTAATGGTTTTATAGTAAACGATAAACAAACGGGAAAAACGTGTGATTAAAATTTAAGCCCATAGAACGTTTCATTACAATAACAAAATTACCAATCGATAGATAATAATTAACGAAGATAAATCACATTATGTGAAGCTTAATTAGAATTTAATAAGATAGTGCATATTCGTAGATGCGCGTTAGAAAAAGATTTTAACCTTTAAAGAACTTTTTTGTTTTCAATATTCTTTTCTTTTTTCTTTTTAATCTCATCTAAAGGTCAGAGTTCTTCCCGAGGGAATTTGCCGTTGTCGTCGTAGTCGTTGTCGTTGTCGTAGTCGTCGTTGTCGTCATCGTTGACCTCGTCATTTTCGATCGACGAAACGAAGAAGAGGAAAAAAAGTACAAAATGAAAGGAGCAGAAGAACGTTTGAACGATCCGCTTTTCAAGAACGTGAACGTAAATCATGCTTTTATTACGGATAATTTTACGAGAACTCGAGTACCGCTCTCTTGATCGGTTACGTTTGGTTCTGTTCAGTTCACTCGGCTACCTTAAACTTATAATCGTGTTGTTTTCTCTGACCCGCGAGCAAGGAGTGTTTAAACCAACTGCTAAGATAATACGGGACCAGAAGTTGGCCAGGCCCAAACCTCTCCTCTCCAACCCAACCCAGTTCGAAGCTCGTGCAAGGTCGTTAACGAATTAGCGAAACGAGGTAAGGTCAGGAAGGAAACGATCCAAGGATAACGTTTTCTTTCATCCTCTTCTTTTTCTTTCTTTTTCCCTCACCTGGATTCTTAATCATCGTCAATGGATTTATGATTGGTTAATGTTCAGACCCTGAAACAATAAAAAAAACAAGGTTAATTGTTGTAACCGATTTAATTGAAATATGTTTTAGGGATTGGGTGTACTGTTGAGTGTTTATGAATTAAATTTTGCGATGCTAATTGGATACCATTTTGATTATAATAATATTAATAATTATTGTTGAACTATAAATTGGTATTATAGAAAAACAGTGAACAGTGATTTGTTTCTTATTTGCCGATGTTCTACGAAGTGTCAAAATTATTGGAAATCTTTGAGGAAGTTGGGAAAGTGACTGTAAAGTTTGAGATAATATAATCTACCCTTACATAAGCACTTATCACATCCCATTTGACACCCAAATATATTTTATCTTATTGACTTTTGTAATTATCCTTGTTAGTCTTCTTCTTAGGAACACGTGTAATAAGACTTTTAATCTAACACCAAGTCAAGCTTAGGGGCTTTTGTCGGTACACCGACATTCCTTTCCAACCGCAGGAATGTCGGTCAGTGTGCGAGACCGTAACGCGCCTACGGTGAACCGCTGGTGGTCCAACGTTGAGCCCAATTCACGAACCTGAAACGATACCGTTCTCCTTCCTGAAACCTTTCCTCCATCTACAATCCCAATCTGCGGTTCGCGAACCAAATCAGATTTCGACGAGTTGTTGAATAAATTTAACTTACAATTAGTGTTTCATGAATATTCTATCCCTCTTCATTGTTTCTTCAGGTTACTTACCGTAAGAACATTTTTTTCCGATCGTCTATCGCAATTTGATCAATGCTGTCGTTGATTGTATTATGCTTAAAAGATGTGCAACTTTTTCTCGACAAGTTGACGAGGAAAAAGAAAAGTTAGGACGAAGTTCGAAAGATTTATGCATCGCATAACTTTTCCAAGTACCTCTCGAAAACCTTAGCATTGTATTACGAGGGCCCATCGTCGACTGAAGTTGCGATTTTACACGAGCTTTTCGAAGTTTTATCCCTATCGATGAAGTCGATTTTTATGCAGGATTTTATATCACTTTTATATCGATCAGATTATTTTCCATTTTCATAGATACTCTAGGAACAAGTTTACGATTTACTGAATTGCATAGCTAACTTTTTTTCATTTTTTGTTTTTCTTCTTCTTTCTCTTTTTCCAATGCACGCATCAAGGATAGTCGAAGTTTCGTTATGAGGATGAAAAATAAAAATAAAATTTTGGATGTTCTCGTAAAAATTGAGTAAATAGGAAAGTGTTGTTTCGATACGATTGATCGAATTACTCGTCGAACGAAGAATCGAAAATGTGTTTAACGGGCAACATAAGCCGAGTGAATTCGAAGAAGACGACCCTTAAAGAGGAGGTATGGGATTAAGATAATAGTCTCGAGAGGGAAGAAACTTAGAAGGAGAAGGTAAAGGCAAAAACGAGCGATATGATGTGGGTCAAAGTCTTCGGGACTGGGTCGCAGGGTTCCTTTGCCCGGAGTCCCTCGCGAGCTTCCAAAGAGAGATCGTCCTCCTCGACTCGAGGTCGAGAGGTCGAGAGACCGATTTCAATTTCACTTCTCGTTTTCATTGCATTTTATATATCTCTAGCACCCACCTATCTACCATACCTCCCATACCTCTCCAATATCAAACTTACCATCCCACCTTTTACCATTATCCTAAATTGATATCTCATTTTTATTATTCTGTGTGTTCGTATAATTTTTATATCAAATTTTAATCGAACGTTCTTTAAGTTTTGTTTCATTCAATATTAATATAATTCTTATTTTATATTTTATTATTTAAAGTTGATATATATATATATATATATATGTATTTTTTATTAATTTTAATATTCAAACGCGTAATTATATAACATTGTTTTATTAAATATTATTTAATTAAAATTTTATTCATACAAATTCAATGAAATATTATTACAAAAGTTGATATATTTTCGATATAAATTTTAATTTCATGCTATTAAAATTCTTCATCAAATAATATTATATTATAATCCTGTGATTAATGAAATAAAATGAAATGAAATTTTGTTTCAAAACCCAATGTATCTTTCATATAAAAATTTTAATTTTGTGCTGTGTGAGTAGAAAATTATTTATCTCATATAAAAAAAATATTATAACGTATAAAATAGGATAAATAATAGTTCAAACAAATTCATTAAAGGGACGAGATATAAGAAACGTGCACGAAGAAAAAGAGAGTAAAAACGATGCTCGGGGTAAAAAGAAGACGAATAGAGTTAGGGAAGAGAAAAATAGGATGGTTTTGGGTGATGACCGATGGACCGTGGGGTAGGTTCTCGTCTCCTGTTCATTTTTCTTCCTTGTCGCACGCGGTCGCGACCATTCAGCTAACATCCCTTGGTCCTCCGTTACACGCTTAATAAGATAACGCCATAAGGACGATAAAAGTCTTCAGGACCAGCTTCCGTCATACCAAAGACCGCATCTTAAGCTTCCACGAGAGTTAATAAAAAAAAAATATCATACCGGGCGAGAGGAAGGAAAAGAAAAACAAGGAAAAGAAATTACTTAGTTCATATTTATGACACCTAGTTTCGTTTACCATAATGAAAAAGATTTTATTTTCAATATAATATTAAATATTTTTCATTTGAAAATAATAATCATCAATATATTAGTTTTTTTCCCCCCCAAATTGTTTAATAAAAGATTAAAAATAATATGAATTGAGGAAACGGTATGGTATGAAAAGGAATCAGAAATTTTCACTTAGAATTCGTTTTCTCGTGGACCCGGCGCGTCCCTATCGTATTACCTTTCTGTCGTATCATGCAGAGCTATAAATTAATACTAATCTTCGAGTGAGCACGGGTACCGTGCAAGAACCTACACAATTCCAACGAGAGACTAAATTTATTCGAGATTTCGAGTAAATTCGTACGTACGTTATCATCAGGATACCACTTCTACCTTATTTTTAACATACGTTAATCCATCTCCCATTAAATATCCCTCCAAACATTGTTACTTTCAACAAATCTAACGATTTTACAAATTCCTTGATATTTCTAACCTTAGGGTGTGGCTGTTTCCAATTTCGGTTAACCCTCTTTTCACAATCGATAAAAAATCCATCCAACTATTCGTACATCTCAAAAAATTCCAACAAAAATAACAAACGTAACACTAACAGTACCTAACATTTAATTCAATCTAAATCTATCGTAGATTAAAAGAAATAAAAATAGTCAACAAAGAAAAAGAGATTAAAGAAAAACACATTTTTTCAAAAATGTAGAAGTAAAAAAAAAGTCTAAAAGGAAGAGTTAGAGTTAGCGAATGAGAGCCACTGCAGCGTGTCTAATGTAAGAGGAGGAGACCGGAGGTGAGAGTGAACGTGCGTAGCTGAAGGGGCAGCTCGAAAAGCCGGACTTCGAGGTCCTCCGCCTTCGACCCTCTTCTCTTCTCTTCTCTTCTCTTCTCTTCTCTTCTCTTCTCCCTCGTTCTTCCCTCCTTCCTCCCTCCTTCCTCCCTCGTAACCCACCCTCATTGAACCGTCTTTCTTGCTCTACCAAGTAGGATTTGGTCTCATTCTAGTCAATACTTTGCTGTCCCTGTTGGTTACTCTTAGCTCGTGCATCGAGCATCCCTTTCTCTCTTCTTGGCTGAGGCGACCCCCTAGGAACAAGCAGGGGTGGCTTTCGCGAACTGAGCTGGAGACGAAGGAGACGAAGGAGACGAAGGAGGTGGTCGGAGGTGGCCGAGGAGGGAGGAAAAGGGTGGTTGGGTCTGAGCCTAGATCAATACTCGCATCTCCGACGGCTGGACCAGGCCGGACATTGCGTTCCAAAGCTCACCTTCTCGCCGATATCAACCCTCCTACAACTGACTCCTCTCTCTCTCTCTCTTTTCCGCCACCTCCACCACCTTTTACCCCTCCCCCGCCCCTCTCCTCCCTCCTACCACCCTCCAACCCCTCTCTCTTCTTCTTTCTCTCTACCCAACCTTACCACCTCCGTCTCCTTCTCAACCATCTCTTTCTTCTTCGCTTGCTTTCTCTCTTGCTCTCACTTAGCTGGCCAACCCCTCTCGCTGTATTTCGCCTTTTGCATCCGTCTTTCCTGAAGGAAACTCGTTTTAGGCTCTACGTTCCTCTCTCTTTCTCTCTCTCCTTTTACTTTTTCTTCTTCATTTTTTTTTTATCCCTCGATCTATCGATCCTCCATTTCTTTTTCCTTTTTTCTTCTTCTTCTTTTCTTTTTTTTTTTTATTCTATTCCACAACTAGACGAACCAAGATATTTTTCTACTTTCACTGAAAAAAAATTCGATACTCTACGGAAGATCTTGGAAAAATGATGAATTTGTCTATAGGTCTTTTAGGCGTTGGAATTTGTTGTACTTTTTTCTTTATAAGAATTCCCGAACTACTGTTAAGATGTTTGAAATATTTGGAATTTTGGTTGATAGGTCGTAAGCGCGTATAGAACAAGTGATTTGATGGGATGAGAAGGATGATTATTTGAACAAGGCAAGAAATAGCGTATAAACGACACCGAAAACAATTCAATTTTCCCTGTTACTCTTTTACGAGCCATTCCTCGGTATAATGTCTTTTCCCGCACGTGGTGGAAAAGCCTTAGCGTTGAGTGTACGTGCTCGCGAAAAAAAAAAAAAGAAAATTATCGTCAAATCCATTAAGTTAATTGGCTCCTGTTTTTTCTTTTCTCTAAAATTATGAAAATTGCTATTCTCGTTCTATCGATTCTTTTATATTTTCGGATTAACCCTTTTTATCCTTAAAAATATCAACTTTATGAGTGAATGATAAATCAATGAAAAAAAAAATGTGTCAATCGTATTCGATGACTTTCAATTTTGTTGGCAAAATTTTTTCTACGATCCTACAAAGAAAAGGGGAGTAT